TCTTCTTTGAAGAAGTGTCTGTTCAGCTCCTCTGCCCATTTTTTAATTGGCTTATTTGCTTTTTGTGTGTTGAGGTGTGTGAGCTCTTTATATAATTTGGATGTCAACCCCTTATTGGATATGTGAGACTGAGGTTCTTACGAGTGACTGGCTTTAATGTCACAAAGGCCCGAATTGAGTCTCCCCAGGTCCCTCAGTTCTTCAGTGAGGATAATAATACTCCTTACCTCTTGGGTTATGGTGAGCATTAAATGAGATTCTTCATGCAGATTGCCTAACCCACAACAGGGGCTCAACAAACAGTGCTCAGTGAACACTTCCTAGTTCAGAGAGCCTCCAGGATCTGGACCTAAAAGATGACAGACTCCAGTTCCCCTTTAGCCTACTCTTCCAAACTCTCCATGGTCTGGCCCTCACCTACCTAGGCAACCAAAGGTAATCCTTGCTAACCCAGGTATATGCTCCAGGCTTTCCTGTCTCCATGCTTTTGCTCATGCCATTACCTTCTCTTGGAATGTCCTGCCCACAATTTTCACCTGCTTAAAATCCTACACATCCTTTCAGGCCCTGCTCCGAAGCTCTCTCCTTAGGAAGTCTTCGCACCTGCCTGCAGCCAGATGTAACTACCCTTCTTGGAATCTCTATAGGGTTTCGTCTGGATTTTTTTCCTTCCTTTAGGAGAAGGGCATAGGTAGTTTGACCATCTCCCTGACAGACTCTGAGGTCCCCAAATGCAGAGGTTGCAGGACGGTTCCTTCTTCTCCCACATTCTGTGCTTAGCCATGCTCCTTGTACAGCTGAAATATCTTTGAATATTGAGTGAATGAATCCATATGAGAACTGAGAGTCTGACTTTGGGCTCACCCTTGTTGTGGGACCCCTTGGAGACTGGGTCATGAAAAGAGTCAGACTGAATTAAATATGTATTACGAAGTTACCCTGTGGGCCCCACCATCCTTTGCCTAATTAGAAATGTGGTGAATTTCCTCATTCCATCCCACAACTATTTATTAAGTACTGCCTTAATCCAGACCTGTGGTAGAATAGCAGACACAAGAATGAGTAGGACAATGTCCATCTTCACCGAGAACACACAGTCTGGGTGAGGAGCCAGTTAATGAAATCAAAACACAAGGTTAGTGCTGCTAGGAGTGTGCATAGAGTGGTAGCACTCCTGCCTTTCTATATAAACCAATCTCCCTTCTCTCCCATCCTTCTTAGATCCCACCTCCACCCAGGTCTGGGACAGGCAGCACAGCCTTCTCCTAGGAGCTACCCTGGAGCTGCTTGACTTAGAGTCAAAGTTCCCTCTCACATCTCACCCTCAGTGGATTTCAACTCAGGGCGATTTTGCCTCCTATGGGATACCTAGCAATGTCTGGAATGTTGCTTTTGGTCATCCCATCTGGGATGGGGGTGGGGGTGGGGGTGGTGATGCTACAGGGATTTAGTGGGATGCTGCTAGACACCTTGCAGTGCACAGGACAAGCCCCAAAACAAAGGGTTACCCAGCCCAATATGTCAGTAGTGCCAAGGTTGAAAAACCCTGCTTTAACTTATTCTATAATGACTCCAAGATGATGTTTAGCAACTCAAACATGTAGGGAAGGGAGCCAGTGAATCAGAAGACCTTCTTTCCAACCCATGCCTTATCATCAGCTTGCCTCTTTGGACCTCTGGTTCATGCTATGTTAAATGTGGATAGTCAATTCTAGCTTTGCTTCCTAGGTGAAGGTTTCTGGGGGCTAAACTATGAGAATGTAAGCAAGAGAGCTTGTCAGGGGAGGTGGATGGTGAGGCTGGCTGGGCTTGGAGTGGGAGGGAAGCTGCTATGGAGCCCATGTGTCTTGCCAATGTGTTTCCGCCCTGGGCAAGTTCATTGTGGATTCAGTGAGACAGAGGAATAACAATGGAAGTTTTTGGGGGTGAAAGGGTTTATTACCCGGCTTGTTCTCCTGACAATAGGTCAAGCACTAGAATTACATCTGCATACAGCAGTCTGCAGGTCTGCAATCCTCCTTGTCTCTGCCTCTGCCCAGAGCACTAGGCAGGGCTCTTTATATAGTGACTCAGTCAATAATAGCTTATAGCCTATGGGTGTGGAAGCAGTAGCCTAGGCAGGCCAGTTACATCATCAACTAGTTTAGGCTCAGGTGAGGATCCTGGCCATAGGAACCTTCACTTTATCCACACCATGCCTTTTGTTGCCACGTGGCCCAAATTTTCCAAGATGGTTCAATTTCAAGTATTCTGCCCTGTCCTTGTCTTCAAAAATAAATTGTACAATTTAGGCCATCTGTGCATCAGATTAAAAAACATGGCAGTCTGAGCATAAGATTTTATATCAATGATACCTTAATAAAACAAACAAACAAAACATGGCAGTTGAGCTCCCTTCCCCCCTCTCTTTTCTTCTTTGTTATTATACAAATTTTTGAAAAATTAAAAAAAACATTGTGGATAAAATGAAGGTTCCTGTGGCCGGGATTCTCACCTGGCCCTGACTGGCTGGCTCATAGCACAGGTGTGGGCAATGCATCATTATTGACTCTGTATAAAGAGCCCTGCCCAGTGGTCTGGGTGACACGGTGGCACAACTGCAAGGCTGCAGGAGAGCAGAGCAGAGGCTGGAGTAGTGGTGGCACCAAGGGCAGAGAGGCCCAGAGGCAGGGACTGGCTTGCTGCATGCAGACTCGCTCTGAGTGGATGGGATTCTAGTGACTGACCTGCCACCATGGAAATAAAGTTAGGTATAAACCCTTTCACTCCAAAAATGTTCTGCTGTCATTTCTGTGGTCACAGTGAATTCATAGCAAACTTCCCTGGGCTGAAACCCATTGGCAAGACACATATATAATCCTTTAAAATATACAAATAGAAGCCTACAGTACACACTGATTTATACATAACTTTTTTCTTTGCTTACTAGTAAGTAATGAACATGTCTTTGAATTTAGCTTCACTGTTACAGTTTTATTTTAGTAGATTCATTCCACAATTCATTTAACCAATCCTCTACTTTGAGATATTTTTGTTGTTTCTAAATCTTCACTATTATAATCCATGCTGTGATAAATATCTTGGGAGCTTTTGTGTGTGTACATTTGTGATTTTTTTCCTTAGGTTACAACATTCTTTAGGGTAGAATTTCTGGCTTAACGTATACTTATTTTTTTTCCCTTTTCAACAGTTTCTATTTATTTTTTAAAATGCTACTTTAGTAAATGTTGGACAATTCAGAAAAATAGAGAGAAGGAAAGTAAAATCATCTTTTTTCTGTGATTTGAACACAATCACTGCTAACAGTTTATTTCATCTATATATTTTGCATTGTGTGTCTTTTTAAAAAATGTATAACTAATTTGTAGCCTAAAGTTTAGATTTTACCATAACCATCTTCTGTGTTTTGCATATTTAATGGCTGTATCATATTCTACTGTGTGCAGGGCCATAGTTACTTGAGCATTTTCATAAATAGATTTGAGGTTGTTTCCCATTTTCCACAATTGTGAATAGTACTACAATGAACCTTTCCACAAGTGATGGTTTTTTTCCTGCTGAATTTGTAAATTCCTTAGAATAATTTCCAGAAATGAATCTACTGAGACAAATGGGAAAATGATTGAATGGTTATTTGATGTACACTGCCAAATTATTTTAAAAGCTCTATGCGCTATGAATCTGGGTGTTTTACACATTGTTGAGGCCTTTTATATTTAACGGCCTAATTGACCCTTGGAGAGGTTGTCCTGATTTATCCTTTCGGCAGCCATCTCTGAGGGTTCTAGGCCCTTTCTGGGACCTCTTGGGCCCCACACCCAGCCAGACTGAGGCTGAAATGGCCCCCTCAACCCTGTGCAATTCCTTAGAGCTCAGAAATGACTCCAGCTGCCCCTGCCTCTGGGCCTTGGGCACCCCCTTCAGTCTGTGTGGGGAACTTTCTTCTCCATCCTGGACCTGGGCTACATTTCTTTCCCACCAAGCCCTGGTCTGGTTTCCATCCCACTGGAGTATGTCCTGAGATGGTGTAGTCTGTCACAGGCCCTCACGGGTCTCCACTGCCTCTTAGGCACCACAGGAACACAATCCATTAAGTGTCATCTTCCTGATACACAACTTTCCTGCTTCAGGCAGCCTTCTCAGAGATTGATCAACAGAAGCCTAAAAAAGCCTACTAAAATCCCTGCTTATAGAGCTCCTACTATGTGCATAGACCCTATGCTATGGTGCATTAGAAGAACTGCATCATGGCAGCATTTATTATCATCAAACTTAATTGGAATTGCACTGGTGTAGTGAAAGCTGATATATATGTCAGCAATCTGGGGGAAATAACAAAGACTCAGTTTCTCTTTACATTGCTTCCTGTGAAATTGAAAGAACTTCAGTGAACAGCACCAGATTCTCCTGGTCCATGTCTGCCCACTCACCCAGTCCTGAAGGTGGGCACAGTTAACCAAACCAGGGAGCTAATGCCCTGCATGTCTTGAACTTGGGGATTTTCTTAGCTCTGTAGAGACCTCCCACCTGTTCATGGCTGATTCAGTGCTAAAGTCCCTTAACTAGCACCATTCACGCAATGAGGCATTCTGGGCCAACACTATGCCAGGAATGCCTGAAGATCAGGTTACCCCCAAAGCCAGGGATATTCCGTGTACCAGTAACTTCTTTGGGTGGAGATCCCAGGAAGCACTTAGGAGAATGGAGAAAAGAGTCAGGGAAGGCAGAAAGCCAGTAAGGGGTATGTTAATGAGCAGGTCACCACGGGGGTGCTTTTGGAGCTCAGTGAGGCTGGATACTTCTGGGGGTGTTGCAGAACATGTATCATATTTGTCCTATAGGGGAAGATGCTGGGGTGTTTATCCTGTTTGTCACCTGTTAAGAGCTGTTCCCAGAGGTGTTGACTCCCCAGCACTGCCAGCCTGCCCTGTGCATGCATCAGGTAGGCTCAGGTAGCAGGAGGAAGCCTCGGGCTGAGCTGCAGGATGGTGTGGTTAGCAGCCATCTGTAGGAGGGATGTGAGCTGCTGTACTGCATCTGCAACCAGAGCCAGCCCTTCCTGGACCTGCTGGGTTAGGTAAAACAGTGCTCTGAGCCACCAGACAACCATGAGTGAAAACTTTATTGCTTTAAGCACTTTACACGAATGTCACCAACAACACTACATCTGGGCAAATATATAAAAAGCATGATCTATTGTACAATTATTCCAACTTCTTGACTAATGCACTGTACAGACATTTCCCAGGCCTTGCCCCCAGCACAATGGATGTGTTTCAGGGGCAGCAGCTGCACTTGTCTGAGCCCCCTTTGCAGACGCAGCCCCGGGCACACTTGGCACAGCCCGGGGGGCAGCAGGGACAGCAGCCTAAAAGGGTCAGGAAATGGACAGATCAGCTTTGGGTCACCATTCCAATCTTACCACTTCCCCTCCTACCTCTTAGAGGAAGTAGGAAAAGACAAACATGCCATAGGCTTCTACCCACATTAGCAAAAAACCTGGGACAGAAAGTTGTGGGGTGGTAGAGCTGGAAGGATCTTAGGGGTCATCCAGGGTCCATCAGAGCCCAAAGAGAGGAAGGGGGTTGCCTAAAGTCATTGGACAGTGGCCGGTCCAAGACTAAAAGCCAGAGCTCAGGACTCCAGGCCATGTTCTATCCCTTTCCCCGTTGGGCAGGATAAAAGCTTCCCTTAGTGTTCTTCCTATTCCAAACACCTGAAACACCATGGATGCCCCATCTTTTTGGCACTTTGCTCCCGGGTCTCTGTACACCTTCATTTCAGAGCTCTCCCACATGGATAAAAGGCACCCAGAAACTCCTTAATCCCACCCCGACTCGAGGGTTGAGGATGGAGGGAACAGACTGTGTTTGCTCCGGCCAGTAGGGTCCCTGGTCACCATAACTCACTTTTCCGACATGTTTTACAGTTGCAAGTTGTGCATTTGCAGTTGTCTCCACAGATGCAAATTCCTCCTACGAGAGAGGACAGAGCCACAAGCATGAGGGCCTGGCTGGAGAGGAAGACACAAGGCATGCTGCAGACCTCCATGGTGGCAGGGTTCCTGGGCTGTCCTTGGTGTCAGGGGGAGCTGGACAAGAGGGTGAAGATGCTGCCCAGCGTCACCCCAGTGGCAAAGACCATCCCATGCCTCCCAGTCTAATGGGCAGAAATTGGAGTGGCTGCATGGGCCCCTCACTAGGATGCTGTTAAAGTGCAGATTCAGGGGACCAGTCCTTGAGATACTCTGATTCTGAAGTCCAGGTGAGGAAAGGGAATCAATATTTTAAAAAATCCATCCAGATGATTCTGATGTGCGATCAGCTTTGGGAACTTCTAGACTAGGCCAAGTCTACCAAGCTCAAGGTTCCCCGGGACTGTCGAAATCTTTGATAACTTCCTCACCTTTTCAAGGTATCAGGCAGGATGGAAACCCTGAATGGGTAAGAGAAGGATCCAAGGACATAAACCAGCTCAAAGTGAGAGCCGTAGCCTCACTGGTTTTCATATTACAAAAGCACCTACACTTAAAAATCATCCCACCTATCATTTTAAGTTTCAAAATGCTGGAAACTTCTGTCTCCTTGGCAAGTTTGTGGTGCAGACATGTCCTGTTAAGGACCAGACAGACAGACTTGTGATACTTCTTGATACCATTTCCCAAGGCTCAGGTTGGCTCTGAACCCTGACTTCTCTCCTCCTGGCCAACAAGCTTCTGTGGAATTAAGGGGTTTCAGAGATGCAGGAGTCCGCATACGTGTCTAGTATCTCCCCTGACACCTGCAAGTGCTTTATGATTTTAGCACTGGGAAGTGAGCAGTGGGGATGAGGGACCCTAGTTTTCATATGAGGAAACTGAGGCCTGAAAATACTGTGTCAGGAGTGAATGCCAGCAGGGCACCCAAGCCAAGTAGCCAGGTTCTGGGCCAGAGCTCTTTCCCTGCCCTGGTGACTGCCCCTAGGGGCTGCGGCTAAGTGCCCCTCAGTCACCCCTGAGCCAGGATCTCAATGCTAGCACATCATCAGGCAGGTAGCCACACAAAGTGAGAGCTGCCCCAGGCCACCAGCCTGAGACAAACCCCATTCATTGGTGGCTCCTAATTGGATGAAGAGAAGCAGTCATCAGAGTCCTGGGGACTCCCAGTAGGAAGCTGTACTAAGGTGCTGGGACCCCAGGGTGGGGATCCTTACTCACCAGACATGCAATTACATTCCCCAGGGTCCATGGTCCAGGTGTCCGAGAAGCTCCAGTGCTATCACAGCTGGGGAGGTAGGGAGGCTAAGTGAGCAGCTGCCAGAGGCTCCCTATTTATAGCCATGTAGGTGTAGACTTCTGCTGACTCCATCACTCCCTGGGGCCAGACGCCCTGCACACGGCCCAGCCAGACGCTGTGGCTGGGGGCTGGGGTGAGCAAGCAGAAGGAGGGCAGAGGAGAGGGGAGCAGCAAAACCAGCCCAGTGGTTTCTCACAAGGGGCTCAGGTGTCTGCACCCACCCATCTGCCCACCTGCTGGCGTGTCAGGGAGCCAGGCTCAGGTTCAGATGGTACTTGCAATGCTCAGATTGGGAGCTACATCCCATCTACCTGGTCTCCAAGCCCTGTGCATTCTATTATCAGCCTTTCTGTTCCCCCTTCACAGGGGCTCCTGCTGCCTGGCTCAGCACCTCCTTCTGTCTCCCCTGATGACCTGTAAAAGCCTGGGCCCTGGGCTTTAGAAGGACCCTATCAGGTCCTGTCTTGGGTGTGCCCTGCAGCCCGCCTGGGTGTGAAGGCTGGTAGTCAGGGGTATGTGCCCACCCAGTGCCTGAGCCTCTCCTAGACTACACATGGAGCACTGTAGATCTGGAGTTTTCTGTCATCCCAAGCCTGCTTGCTTATAAAGGTTTGCTTGATCTTCATCTCTAGACCACTGAGGGCAGATGTACAGCTCTCCTCAAGACCTGAGGAGTGGCTGGAGCTGGCTGTTTGCTGGGGGTGCAAACAGTGTGGATGTGTGGGCTGGGTGTGTGTGAGGCCTCTCACAGCAAGGGAAGGAGCTGGGGTGGGAAGAGAACGGAGGTGGGCCACAGACTGGGTGTTGGGGCTACATGGTGGATCCCCTGGCACCTCTGTGTTCCCGTGTGAGAATTACAGATTTGAACCTGGCCCTCCAGGTTGCTATGAAACTCTCTTTGTCAAGGTAGGAGGACAGGATGTATTTCATTTGTTAATTTGATTTATAACTTTTAAATATTTTAACCAGGTGGTATGTGAACCTCCAATTGTACTCTTGCTCTGTCCCTTTAAATATTAGGAGGGACCTGGAATGAGTCTCCTGTGCCCTCACCTCCTCCTCTTCATTCTCTACACTACTCCAGAGATACAGCCCTAAAAACAGCAGAGACCATGCTACTCTCTTGCTTGAAACCTTCTGCTGAATGAAGCCCATACATCTTAGCCTTGCATCCCCGGCTTATCTTACCTTTCCACACTCATTGCCTGCTTCTTCTTTCTACCCTGTCCCGAGGACTCCAGGCTCCCTCTACTTGCATTGAACTTCCCCACTTCCAGGCCTTTGCCCCAGTCAGGTTTCATCCTTTCCCTACCACCTAACAAAGCCCAAATAAATTCTTTCCACTTACCGAGGCCTGGGCTCAAGTGCCATTTCTTGTGTGATGGAAGCAAGAGGGGACTTGGGGACACTTAACCCCTACCCATCTTCCTCATAACTTCATCCTTTGCTATAGACACAGGCTACTTTTCTTTCTTACATAAGGCGCCCTCCAGATGATGCCACTTCGAGTTTTCCCCACAAGCTGCTATCCTCACCCACTCTCTGTACAGAAATTCTGGAGCTGCTGTTGATTACACTTTCTTCAGGAAGCTGCCTCTTATCTCTCCCTTTCCAGCTGGGAGAAGTCTCTTCCCTCTCTGGCCCTTCAGTGATGTGTCTGTACATTCCTCATGACATTTACTACTTTTTACTCTACTGTATGATTATTTGTGTTCATGCCTCTTGCTGCAAGCTGGGACCTCGCAGGGGCAAGACTGTGTCTGAAGCATCTCTGTATTTGCATAATATTCTGCACACCGTTTAGTGGATGTTGACTGAAGGAATGAAGCAGATGAATAGTCGAATGACCTGAAGACATGAATGAGTGAGTGAGCATGTAAGTGAACAAATGAATGAGTGCGTGAATGATGAGTGGGCAAATGTATGAATCTCCTGCATGTGGGTATTGAGCACCTCTGCAGAAACATACCATCACCATTCAGAAAGGCAAAAACGTGGGGCCCCACCATAACCAGCGGAGAGAGTTTCTCCAATTTGTAGGTTAGTGGTGCCTCCATCACTCATCCATAGGGACCCCTGGGGCCTCAGTCTGGCCCATGCAATCATGGGTTTGAGCTCAGAACTTCTAGTGAGAAGAATGGGATTCAATCCCAAGGTCATCAGTAAGGCACTGGGGAGGGGTAAGTAGTGGCAGTATTGTAGTGATCCAAAAATAGTCCCTGTCTGAAAGGAGTTTGCAGCCCTAGGGCATCCAGGCATATTGATTCATTCAACACCTTCCAAGGGCCAGCATTGTGCTGGGCACTGGGGAGCCAAGGGTGAGTAAAAACAGAGCTTACAGTTCAGAAGGTCAGGAGGACATCTCAGTCCAGGAGACCCACAACTGGACGGGGCTACTCTCAGAGTCCCCGGGCTGGACCTACCCTCCTGGGCCTGCATTCCAAGTCCAGTCCAGCCCACCCCTTGGCAGGCCCAGCTCCCCTTCCTCCATCTGGTGTGTGCCCTGTAGCAGTTATGAATGCTCTAGAAGGTATGGCCCAACCAAGTGAGCTCAGAGAGAGGAAGGTATTATTTTTACCCTTACCTAAGCCATTCCCTCCTCACTCTCTAAGCCAGGAATTGCTTCTCTGTTTGATGATTGACACGCTGATGTTGCTTAAAGCCCAACTGAATGATAATATCAGCATGAAAAAATTTCCCAGTTTCTGGGCTGGTTGGACTGAACAACCATGTGTAGCACTGGGCAGACAAGTCCATGCTGAATTGTGCGCTGAACTGTCCAGTTCCTTTTACACAATCCTTCCTCCAGTGCCTGGGGAAGCATGTCCACAGGCCCCTTTTGCCCTTTGGTCTGTCTTCCGGGTCTCACTCTGGTCTCTTCATGGCAGCAGGAGAAGCACATACATGCCACCTCTAGAACATGCAGTGGCTGGCAGGCACAGCTTAAACCCCCATTTGGAAAATTAATATATCTTCAGAGAAGTGATCCTTAGCCTTCTAGGAGGGTTCAAGGAGCCCTTTAAAAATCTAATGAAAGCCCTGGACCCTCTATCCAGAAAAAAGTGCACAAATACACAGCAGAGAAAGATGGCAGAGAAAGGTCCTGTGCCATGACTCCACACCCTGGTCCATGTTTTGCTTTTAGGACCACCATCCTTTCCCATATAGGAACCCTCTGCACACACGTGTCTACCCAGGAGCTGCCTGGAGCCATCAGTTTATTATCCTGGTTTATAAACTGGCCTATCTCTAGCCTACAAGCTCCTTGCGACCAGAAGCTGTGTTTATGAATAACAGTGAGTGCTGCCACGTAGTAGGTGCTCAACTTTTTATAGGCTGCTGCTGAATAAATGGTTCAATTAACAGTTACAGCTTGGCTATCTTCTCTGGTTCTTATTGAAGAGATGTCAAGGACCTTGTTGGCCAAGAGCCTTCAAGTGCTTGACATCTGGAATCATGCCGTCCAAGTTCTAATCCAGGCTCTGCTGCATGATTTGGGGCAAATTGCTTGACCTGTCTGAGCCTCATTTTCCTGTGTTGCTAAGTCTGCTAGTAAAAATGGTAACCCTACAGCACTATTGCTGTGAGGGTTAAATGAGAGAATGCATGTTAAGCACTTAGTTCATAATCTATCACATAAATATCATTATTATACCATTATTATCTATCTGTGCCTATTACAACTTGGCAAATTAGTAGAGCCATCCACCCATTTGTATGCTTCAGGCTTATAGACTTCTTCAACCTGTCCCAGTCATGAGCAGGATGCATTCATCAGCAGAAATATTGTGGTGAGTTTCAGTCTCTGGTTTCTCACTATTATGCTCAGCCTAATTCCCTTTGGATCCCAGGGCCTGATGACCGTGGGGCTCTGTCCTCTCTGACTCTTCTGTTTACATCTGTTTGGAGGCAAAGCTGACATTCTACCATAAGGTATTTCTGGCCTTATAGGTAGGACTATGCAGGAGAGGTAGGTGGATAAAATCAGAGAAGGCAGGAGCCCTGTAGGGCACCACATTGAATCCTGGATGGTCAGCCCTGGAAGAACCCTGAGAAGTTGTGGGCCCACTTCTTTTGCACAAAAGGGGAAACAGGAGCTCAGAGAGCCAGGGTCCATCCCCAGTCAGTCACTGAGCTTAAACTGATGGCAGAGGTATTTGAACCTGGGTGTGCAACTCATTGCCAGCACCCACCCTTTAGGTCCAGGGCACTCTGACAGAACTGGTCAGCAGTTTGGAGACTTGTGGCCTTATAAACTATTTATTAATTAATTTTACTATTAAAAAGTTCAAACATATTAAAAAGTACAAAGAATAGTATTATACACACCACTGTATCTACCTCCCAGAATTAATAGATGTCCACATTGTTGTATTTGCTCCAGTTCTTTTATTTATAAGAATAAAAGATTAACAGGCTCATGGCTTTAAACACCATCTAAGTGCTAGTGACTCCCAATGTACATCCCCAGCCTGAGCCTGTCTTTTGAACTCCAGACCCATATTTCCAGCTGCTACTCAACATGTCTGTGTGGATGTCAAAGAGCATCTCAAACTCTACACCCCCCCAGATGAGTTCCTGTTTCCTGTTCCACCTCTAACCTGATCTTCTCACAGTCTCGTCTGCCTCCACTACTGCCTCCTGGTTTGAGCCACCGTCATCTCCCGTGAAGATTCAGCTCTCCTTTCCTAACTGGCCTACTTGTATCTGCCCTTGCCCTGGACCCTTATACCACATTTTCTTTATTATAAAACTGCTGCAAGGAACATCCTCATTCATATCATGTACATGACTATACAAGGCTCACTCATCCCTAGAAGGATGGCTAGATTGTGTGTGGGGGTGGGGGGTGATTGCTCTCTGAAAATCTTATACTAATTTACACTCCCTCTAGCAATTTTCAAGAATCCCCACTTCCCACCTTCTCCTCTAGTACCTCCTCTATTCAAACTTTGAAGTGTTTGCCCATCTGATAAGTGGGAAGAAGTGTAATTTGCTTCCCAGCTTCACCATTAACATTTAGCATCCAGAGAGTGAGACACAGAGTCTGGTCACACTGACTGTGCACATCTCATCAACCTTTCACACTCTAGCAAGAGAGAACATAGTGAAGCTCACAGGCTGTGGTCTTTCACACATGGTTCCAATTCTGGCTCCTCTATCTACTTACCTACAACCTCAGACAAGTTCCCTTATCTCTATGAACCTCAACTGTAAATGGGAATAAGTGGGTCCACTCATGGAGTTTGGGTGAGGATTAACAGAAAATGAAGATCAGGCATTCAACACACAAGTGCTCAAGGAATGGTAGTTGCTATTAAGATGTCATGTTTATAGTGGAGTGATACGTTTATACGCAGCTGGATACGGACTCAGATATGCCTGGAGTTTAGTTCCCATGCTTTGGTAAGGCATATCACCTCTCCAAAGAGCAGTCTGTCATCTATAGAAGGGAGATGATAGTAAGTAGAGGGAGCAAGACTGGAGATACTGGAGTAGAAAGAAGTAGGAAGCCTTGGAGAACACAAAGGACAAACATCTTTGTTACAAATCTGTCCATGGCCCAGCCTGGAAAAACATGATGCATGGGGGTGAACACCAGATCAGAGGCCCAGCCCCTGGAGGGCTGGGTTTGGGGGTGGGAGGCTGGTTTGGAGGAGCAGGGCCAGAACCCCCCAATCCCCACACACTATCTACTCCTCTCCTGCTGGGCTGATAAGATGCTTCTCTCTTTGTGATCCAAGTGCTGACTGCTGTGCTGAGGGAGTTTTAAAGATCTTATCATCAGCAAGAGGTTTTGTAGATTTTGATAAACTGTAAGGTTCCTCACATTTCCTTTAAATACATTTTCTAGAGACTTGTTCCATCAGCTAAGGTAGCAATGTGTATCTGAGTGTTTGTGAGAGAGACAGACAGAGAGGCTGGGGCTGTTCTCTCTCAGGATAGTTCTAAGAAAGCTTCTCCTCCCAACCAAAATATGCACACATAGAAGTCTGCTTTTCTGGCCCCCAATTCTGCTCACAGAGCCACGGTAAAAACTCCACAGCCAGTGTGTAACCAGCACTAAGGAGGGGGTCCCAGCGCTGCAAACTGTAAAAATCAGGCCAAGGCTAATTAGGAGCCACCTTTTGCTCTGTGCCCAGTCACCTGTGTACTCAGCAAATGTCACAGGCTCCCCAGGGCTTGTGGCTGCTAATTAATTACAAAGGACTCCAGCTCCACAGCTATAATTCAGTACCCACTGGGCAAGTGAAACCCTCCGCTTTGCACACGGCCCTGGAGGAAGGACCAGTAAAGCAGAAACCAACAATTACCCACACTCACTGCCCCCAGCAGCAGAATGGCTGGTCTGGGTTGGCTGACAGCCCAGATTAGGGCTTTAGAGAGGGGGAAGGAGGCTCTCTCGCTCCCTCCCTCCCTTCCTTCCTTTCCTCTTTCCTCCCCCTCCTCTGTCCCTCCTGCCCTTCTATCCATCAATCATTCAGCAAACCTATTCAGGGCCTACTGTGTGCTGGGCTTCACCTCACCCCCTTGGATGGGGTAAGGCAGCCAGACACAGGGCCTGGTCCCCAGGAGCTTGCTCTCCAGGCGGGGCC